CAGCACTTGGGGCCTGCTGCTGGAAAGGGCAGCGTTGTTTTTAGTGGCACCGGCCAGTAGGCAGGCATCTGGGGCAGGTGAGCTTCCGCCACCTGGTGACTATGATTTGGGGAATCCGTCCTCAAGGTGTTTTTCAATACTCAGCTGTTGGGATTGTGGGGTCACCGCCAGTAACTTTCACTTAGGTCTCATCATTGTCTGCAGATTCGCAGCGGGGGGCAGGGGGATGTTGTCCTCAGGTGCTTCCCCCCTCCCAACCTAGGGTCTGTTGGGCCCCAGCGTAGGATGTAGTATGGTGGGCTCTGAGCCTCAGAATGGTTCTGTGCTGCAGCTGCTTAGGGCTTAGGGGATATGTAGGACCCAAGCATGAGCTTCCTCTCTGGAGCATCTTGTGATCTCCAGGCAGCCTTCTCTGTTGGTGTCAGCACCCCCGAGGGTCGTGTGACTCTCCCTTGGCTAGGAGTCTGAGGTGGGAATTTGGACCATTAGGGACTTCTCACCCTTATCCCACTGGTGAGTCCATCCTGGCTTCCTGTCTCCTTCCTTGCCTGAGGTGTTTCCTCTCACCTATCTGTTGAACTCCAGTGTACTTTCTTAGCTTATCTATTCAAAATGTGATTATCTACTCACTGTTTGATTCTTTTTGTTTGCTGCTTTTATCCTCCTGGTAAATTACAGAACCGTGGTTCTTCTTTCTGGAGGATGCAGGTGCCAGATGCCTCTAGTTAGGTATCTTGAAGCCCCTCTCGATGTTTTTAACGATAAATTTCTTCAAATTATTGCCAGCTACCATTGAAAAAATATTTTTATTTAATAATCTTCTGTATTATTCCTTTATCATTTGTCATGCCATCAGTATATCTAAATACTATTTAAAAGGGCACCTTTTCTGTCTCTCTTGCTGTGTTGTATCCCCCTCAAAAAATGTTGGTAGCATTCTTGAAGTTTGCAGTAACAGGCAGTTCTGAGTTGCGTGAAATATTTTCGCGATTGTAATTCATTGTGCCACCATAAAACTGGCTTCTTATAAAAGAACTGTATTTCTTCTGTTTTTAACTTCCAGAGGCTTAAAAATTTTTCATACTTTTTCTGAATTAAGAAAGATTTTTTTATGATATGTTGGCATAAGTTTGGCATCATTGCTTCATGCAAATACAGTATTTTGTCTTATGTGTGAAACTTTATATGTTTTAAAAATTAGTGACTGATACTTTTTGGACTCTAGTATCCCAGCTTTAAAAGTTGTCTATTCTGATGGAAAAATAAATATCAATAAAGTTGAAATCTGTTAAATTATTAAGACTAGACCTTTATGGCTTCAGTTTGATAATTTAAAAAAATGTAACACATGTATTCTGAAGAATGATTTATAGCAAATAATTAAACAAGTTAGAAAAGCAACACGTGTAGTAAGCAGAATGGAAAGAATTAAAATGTTAATTTACATTGAATACATGAGTTTTTGAAAATTTTTTGACAAATTTATTTTGTACATATAAATACTACTTTGAAAGTTTTTTGAACCCTGTAACATGTAGCCCCTTTAATGAATTTGTTTGATTCAAATTGAATAATTTATGTCTGATGAAGATACTTCTATTTATAAAAGCAAATAGATTAGAAATAAGTTAATTTTTCTGGGCACAAATTATTCATTTTAAATATTTATCAAGAATTGAATCTTGATTAGTTCAAAAGCCAGTATGCCAGCAAGCAATATGAAACAAGCAATCCATAAAGTAGCTATTAGAAAGAAACTTTAAAAGTCAATTGTTTTCTCTTTACAGCCCCTAATACCAGGTGATGATACTGATCATAATCTTATGCTAGCGAAAAAGTAAAACACTGGGGGGGAAAAAAGCTTAATATTTGTACGTGCACATGCAAAACAAAAGCTCCCTTGATAATAAAGGGACTTCAGATATAATGGTAAACTAGCTGGGATGAATCAACTGGATTATTAAGGAGAGAAAAAGATTGTAAGTCATTTTACAACCTGTCTGTTACCTGTTTTTGGTACATACCAGTTGGGAAGTTTTGCTTTAGAATGTATCACCTGCCCAACAATCCAGAGTTGTGTTTTAAAAATGACAATTTCACCTTCTTCCTATAGACTCTCCAGTGGCTTACTGTCAAATTTGGAGTAAAATTCAGGTTTCTTAGGCTGTAGCTGAGAATGTGTATATAGGCCATTGCCTACCAAAAAGGGTAAACTGAAGCTGATTGTGATGGTGTGTGCCTGTAGTCCCAGCTGCTGGGGAGACTGGGCCAGGAGGGTCACTTGAGCTCAGGAGTTTGAGGCCCTGGCCAACATAGTGAGATCCTGTCTCAAACAAAAATTCCAAGTGTAAAATTTAAAAGTATTATTCATTAACATAGGTTATTCTGTGCTTACTTCCGTCTTGGGACCTTTGTGTCAGCTGTTCCTTCTGCCTAAAATCTTCCTCTCCCAGATCTTTGCACAACTTGTTTTTTCAATTATCTACTTCTAGGTAATCTCCTCGAGAACTCTTCTCTGAATACTGTTGACGGAAACCTCCCACACATGTATTATGTCCTTATTCTGCTTTATTTTTCTTCAGTAGCATTTATGCTATCTGAATATTGTATATTTATCTGTTAAACTGTTGACTCTTACAATATAAACTTTCTTAGGGTGGAGACTTTGTCTTGGTCACTGTGTCTCTCTTTGGTGCATGATATGTAGTAGACAATAAATGTTAGATTTATCTTTGATTACAGTTTTTTAGTTTAATTTTTTAAATAGCTATATAATTGTACATATTTATGGGGTACATAGTGATGTTTTGATATATATAATGTATGGTGATAAGATTATTGTAATTAGTATAGCTGTCATCTCAAATGTTTATCATTCTTTGGGAATAGTCAGTATCCTCTTTCTATTTGAAACTATATATTATTGTTAACTGTAGTCGTCCTGTAGTGACTTATTTCTTCTATCCAGCTGTAATTTTGTATGCTTTAACAAATCTCTCCCTATTCCTCCCTCCCATCTACTCTTCCCAGCCACTATTTCTGTTCCATTTTTTACTTCTTTAAGATCAACTCTTTTTTAACTTCCACATGTAAGTGAGAACTTACGATGTTTAACTTTCTGTTTCTGGCTTGTTTCACTTAACATAACGTTCTCCATTTTCATCCATGTTGCCACAAATGACAGGATTTCATTTTTTTAATAGCTGAATAGTATTTTATCGTGTACATATAAGCCACATTTTGTTATCCGTTTATCTGTTTTTGGACACTTAGGTTGATTCCATATCTTTGCTGTTGTGAATAGTACGCATTAAACATGGGAGTGCAGAAGTCTCTTCAGTATGCTCATTTCCTTTCATTTGGATAAATACCCAGTAATGAGATGGCTGAATCATATGGTAGTTCTATTGGTAGTGTTTTTTGTTTGCTTGTTTGTTTTTTGAGACAGAGTCTCCCTCTGTCGCCAGGCTGGAGTGCAGTGGTGCTATCCCGGCTCACTGCAACTTCCATTTTCCAGTTTCAGGCAATTCACTTGCCTCAGCCTCTCGAATAGCTGCGACTACAGGCATGCACCACCACACCTGGCTAATTTTTTTTGTGTGTGTTTTTGTTAGAGATGGGGTTTTACCATGTTGGCCAGGATGGTCTCAAATCTCTTGACCTCGTGATCTGCCCGCCTCAGCCTCCCAGAGTGCTGGGATTATAGATGTGAGCCACCACACCCGGCTCTCTTGGTAGTTTTTTGAGGAACTTCTAAACTATTCTACATAGTGGCTCTACTAGTTTATATTCCCACCAACAATGTATAGGAGTTGCCCTTTCTCAACATGCTCTGGAGCATTTATTATTTTTTGTCTTTTTTGTCATAACCAGCCCAGTTGGAGTGAGATGATACCTCACTGTGGTTCTGATTTTCATTTCCCTGATGATTCCTGACATTGAGCATACTTTCATACATTTGTTGACTATTTTTATGTCATCTTTTGAGAAATGTCTGTTCAGATTATTTGCACATTATAAAATCCGATTACTTTTATGCTGTTGAAATTTTTAAGTTTCTTGTATATTCTGGGTACTTATCCACTGTCAGTTTAGTAGCTTGCAAATATTTTCTCCCATTCTTTAGGTTGTCTTTTCACTCTATTGTTTCTTTTACTGTGTAGAAGCTTTTTAGTTTGATATATCTCGTTTATTTTTGCCTTTGTTGCCAATGCTTTTATTCATAAAGCCTTCCCTCAGACCAGTGTTCTGAAGTGTTTCCTCTGTCTTTTCTGCTAGTCATTTTATAATTTTGGGTCTTACATTTAGGTCTTGAGTTGATTTTGTATGAGGTGAGAGATAGCAATCTAATTTCGTTCTTCTGTATATAGATACACAGTTTCCCCTGCATCATTTGTTGAAGACTGTCGAAGTTAAATTATTCTTGTTTGCAGATGCCATGATCTGAGATTTAGAAAAACCTGAACACTTTACCAAAAAACTCTTAAAACTGGTAAATGAATTAAGTTGCAGGATACAGAATCATCATACAGAAACCACTAGCATTACGGTACATGAACAGTGAACTGGCTGAAAAATCAAGAAGGCAGTCCCATTTATAGTAGCTACCAAAAACACCACCAAAATTCCTAGCAGTTTTTTTTCTTCATCGTTTCTTACCAAATTTTGTTAGTTTTCATTCCCCATTTATTTCTAGCCACCCACATATCTTCTGTTCTATTGAAGAAATTGTTTTTCTTCTAGGTTAATAAACTAGCTTAATAAATTCTTAAATAAAATATTTTTAAATATAATATTTTTTAAAAATCACTTTGGTTATACTATGGCTTCAGTTGGTGGAAGTTTTTTTCTTTTATTTTTTAGGCTTCAGTTTAATGTCTTGAATTCATTCCAGATATTAATTGGATTTGGATTTTTTAAAAAATTTCCTGTAAAGTGTTTTTATAATTTTGTTTATATTTTGAGTAAAAAATTCTTTCTTCTCTCCACCCTCACTGTAGTTAAAGCGTTCCATCTGAAGTATGATGAAGTTCGTCTGGATCCGAATGTTCAGAAGTGGGATGTAACAGTATTAGAACTTAGCTATCACAAACGTCATTTGGATAGACCAGTGTTCTTACGATTTTGGGAAACATTGGACAGGTAATTTTTTTTCTAAAATGTGTTTATCTTTGGTTTATTGTAATTTTTCTGTCTCCTCAATTAAATTTTAAGTTCCATAAAGTTGTGAATCTTATTCCCTAATTTGCTTCTTTCAACATTAATTTGATGCTCATCTTTAGTAAATAATTTTTACAACAAAATTTTATTGCATAATTACTTTAGAAAGAGTTGGAGAGTTAATAGCCTGATAGAGGGAACACTAAATTGAGTCAGAAGACTTAGACTTTAGTCTTGGTTTTGTAATCTCTAATTATCTGTGTGACCTTTTTGAACCTTATTATCTATCCAAGAAACTTTGGATTAAGGGCCCTATGTTTTTGCAAGTACTGAAAGATCTCTGATTCTGGATTCATTTGTGTTACACATAGTTCATGGAAAGAAATGAAATTTTTAAATTTATTTTAATTACTAGTATAGTGTTGATACAACCCTTTAATAACAGTTTTGTAATTGGCAGATTTAAGAACAGTGTATGTTCACAGTAAGTACCACTGAATCCATTCTCTTTGAGGTGTTCTCCTTAGAATCTGTAACATCTTGGTGTAAGTCTCTCACAATAGATGTGAAAAATGCATATTATTTTAGCTAGAAGCTTTTAGATTATATTACTTAAGAGGAGTGTTATTTCTAGCTTATTCCAGAAGTCCTTATATTTTCAGTTTTCTAGAAAACATTTCATTCTGTTGATTTAAGAAATGTCAACTTATTTTCACATGCATTATTCTAAAAATTCTGAAACTCCTATAGTCATTATAACCTACCATCATACTTTTTTTTCAGGTACATGGTAAAGCATAAATCCCACTTGCGATTCTGAATTATTTGGCTCCTCTGTTTCTGGAAATTGAGACTCAAGCTTTATGAATTTATCAAGAACTTAAAGATGAAGAAGGTCACAGATTGATCTTTTATATAACCTTATTTGATGCTCTGTGCTTCAAGGAGGTGATGCCTGTCATCCATCTAAGCAAACTTTTTGGCTTACAAATATTTTTTTAATATTAGCCTTCTAGTCTGTAATGGAAATTGTATATTTTGATAGAAGTTTTTTCTCCATTGGTTAAATTAGCATTACTTAAAATTTGTTTCTTTAGAAAATAAATGCAGGTTATAAATGTGTGTATATTTAGAGATTAGAAGGCTCTCTGAGCCATCTTGCTTCTGATTTTTCATTGCTCTATAATTCTTTTTACTGAAAATACTGTGTTATGAATGGTATTAAATTTTAGCCTCTGGAACATCCAAAACCAAGCAAAGGGTTGTGACCATTTTGAATGAATCAAAATGTCAACCTGTATGTACACTATATCTACACTTAAATCTTTATTTAAAAAGAATAATGAAAAATCAAGAACAACTCTTCAATTTGATTGAACTGTGCAGCCTTTTCAAGATTTCCTTACTTACAAGTGATTACATTTAATGAATGTACATTCTTCTCACTGACTTTGGTGATTTTTGAAACTTAGAATGATGTGTTTCTATCTGTGATATCTTTCCATTTGAAAAAAATTTCAAAACACAGATTAAAACCGTAATAGGCTGTAGTATTTTTTATTTTGGGAGCCACAGTATGATTTGGGGAAGGAATATGTATCAGCCCTATTGCGGTATGACTTTAAGCTCCTTTTCTCTTTAGTCTATCTTTGATTCTAATTTTTATGGTATAGGATTTTGAGTCTTCTGTTTTAGGTTTAGGCTTGTCAGTCTTGGAGTTCTTATCTTCCATTATCCCTAAATATTGATAAACTCCCAGACACCAAAGAACACATTTGCTTAATTGAAAAGAAACAAGAGAAAAACACTGGTATTTTTATGTGTGTATTAAATATGGTATAAAATATAAAACCTATATTTTAACTTAGTAAAATATTTTACTATTTCTCTACTTTAGACAAAATGTTACATCCAAGGTACAAGTGACCATTTTCCTTGAATCCTGATTTCACTCTTTTTACTTAAAAGCAACTAGAAAGCTTTACTTTCCCAAATTGTTTTTGCCATCAGAATTTTTGCTGATCACAGTCTTAGGTCATTTTTTTCTTCATTTTTATTCCCAGCAGTTCTCTCCGAGGTTAACATATTGTTGGTAAACATTTAGCCCTTTCATAGGTGTTAAGCTGACATTATCAAGCTTCTTAATGAAATTTAACACTGTCACAAAAATGAGAAGAAATTATTTATTTTTTAAGTAATCGCAAAGTCCATACCACTAGTAACTAGAAAAGATATTTATTCATATGGTATCTACAAGGCTGTTCAGAAGAGAACAGTTGGCATTTTAAATTACTAGATTTTAGCATACTTACAAGGTTTGAATAGATTCTACCCCTATTTTCCTCCCTTTTTAGTGTCTTCTTTCCTTAAAGATAAAAGAAAATTCAAATTTGTTCACATTAGGCTTTCTTAGCATATAGATCTGTTTCCGGAATAAATTACGTGTTGTGTAAACTTTCTTCATGTTGAAATAGTCAAGGACCAGAATCTGTGATGTTTGTATGTAAGATTACTTGTCAAGACTACTACAAGTCAATATGAACTACCTTCCCATAAAGATTTTTGGTATTTGTACTTATTAATGAACTTTACTTAATACAGAATATGGTTAAAATTAGGAACATCTACTTTGAATGAGGTTTATTTTTCTATTTGGAATTTGCCTTATGTATATTCAAAGGCTTATGGAAAAACTGTAAAGGAACATTAGGAAAGGACAAATACGCGATGATCATCTGTCTTAAAATCAGATCTTTAATATAAGCACTGCGTTTTTTCTCTTTGACAATTTAGTTTCTTATTTACGTCCATGGAATTAATTTCATTCCATTATTTTTTAGCCATTTATTCTAAAAAACAAAATTTTTCAGCTAATCCCTATTCATTCTCCCATGACATGGTCCTATAGCAGTACTTAACACAGTGCCTTGCACATAGTAGGCATTCAGCAAATACTTATATGCATGAATGATGTATTTTCAGTGTAACAAATTTATTACAAAAATGTAGTTTGACTCAGCTTGGTTTTGGAGTTTGAGAATACAGAATTACAGGGAATGAGGAGAGGTATAAGTAGATACTTTAATGGAAATGAAGTATAAATTAGTAACTTACCCATAAGTTTACTTCTAACTGGTGATACCCATGTATGCCCAATCTGTAAAGGAAAGTTCTATTTCTACATTTACAGGACATTCTTCTCAGTCAGGGAACAGTAAGAAATATGTAGGTTTCAGTCAGTTGCTCTGAACCCTGACTGCATGTTAGAATCATTTGGAGAGTTTTAAAAAACCCCCATGCCTGAATCTTCATTCCCATTTTTATGTAATTTCAGACGAGACCTGGTCATCAGTATTTTTTTTTAGAAGTTCTCCAGGTAATTTGAGTGTGCAGGAAGGATTCAGAATCACTGGTTTAATTTGTTACTGGAAACAATACCAGTATTAAATGTGTTTCCTCCTCCTCCTTTTCCGTATGTGTGTGTGGTTTTTGTTTTGTTGTTGTTGTTTCGTGGCCACCCTTTGCACTAGACCATCCTTGTTATTGGTGGTATTGGCCTGTATTCCCCTTGACAAATGCAATTTTTAATTATTTATTAATATAGAAGGAGTATTTTACTGTTTAATATTTAAATAATGTTTAATGTATTTCATTATTAACTAGTATTACAGCTTGTTTTTTTCTCCATGTGTCCATAACCTTTACTAACTTTTTGTTTTTAGCAGCACAACAGTAATCCATATAGAAACAACTAATTCATAATGAGGAAAATCTCCTAATTTTTAAGGCAGAAAGAAATGTTAATTTTTGATCTGCCATGCAGAATGAGACAAAAACAATTTGCTTATGAAAGGAAAGTGGCATACTTTTAAATTGGTCTGCACAGAAAAGTAAAAGTAAACTATTCATTTAAGTAAGATTCATTATCTAATAAATATTGAAGGGAATATTTTTCCTAAATAAAAATTTTTGTGACTGTAACAAAACTTAAAGTTATTACATTGTTCTTTTTTTTGTGGGGGGAAGAATATTTGTTGCACTAAAGTATATAAAGTTTTTTGATATTAGCAGTGTATTTTATAGCATTACAAATAAAACAGTTACAAAAGCTGGTCAAGTTAATGGCCTAGGAAGTAGCTGTAAACTTTGTGTTTTGAAATTGCTTAAGTGCAAAATTATGAGTAAGATAGAGAAGTTTTTTTAAATTTTTTATTTTTAATTTTTTTGGAAGTTTATTAAAGCCCTTCACATACACATACTTTTTTAAAAAAAGATCTTAATAAAGAAATTATTGGTTTGTCTGGTTAAAGTCCATATAGAATGCTGAGAAGTAATTTATAAAATAAGAACTATGGAAATTTGTTCTCAACTGAAAAGTTGGCAGCTGCTGTTTTTTTGTGTGTGTTTTTTTTTTTTTAAGTACAAAATGAAAATTTAATTACATTAGCCTTAATATTATTTAACTGAATTTCTACTATTTATTCACTTGTGTTTGAGTTCACCCAGCTATTCTAATGACAGCGTATTAGCTTTAGAAGTAAAAAGCGGAGAAATGACTGAAGTTGACTTAAGAATTCGAGTAGGAATTTTGAAGTGCCATGTCCTTTGTGTTCTGGCATATTGTTCCCACATTTGGAAGTATGTTGATGCCAGCATTGTTGATATCTGTTGGGATAATAACTAACGAAAAATTGAAAATGTATAATAGATGTATAAAGATAAACATTTAGTAAGTACATAATAGATAATACTTGCAGAATTTTTATGTGTTTTGGGTTTCTGTGTATTATTTTAGGCAGTCTTTATAAAGACATCTTGGAAGTTATAAATATGTGCCATTTACTGAAAAGCATAAGCATTTTTATATGAGTAAAGCTAATAAAATAAAACTACTTTTATTGCCAAAATTCAGAAATTGGGGTTGATGCTGTGTCAGATTTAAGCAAATGATCTGTCCAAGGATTTTGTTTGCCATTGAATTCCCCATTTCTATCTACTTTAAATTTGCTGAAAGCTGTTTAACCTCTAAGTTTGATTACAGTGCTTAGTAAGTAATGCAGTTCATGTACACGGAGTAAGCACTATAAGTGATTTTTCACTACCAGTTGGAGGTATTTCTCAAAGTGGTTCTTGATTAGAGTTTAAGTTTTGGGTGCCATTTGAAGTGATAAAATGTTCTCCTCATTCTTTTTGTTTTTGTTGTTTGTTTTTGAGATGGAGTCTTACTCACTTGCCCAGGCTGGAGTGCAGTGGTGCGATTTCAACTTACTGCAGGCTTCACCTCCTGGGTTCAGATGGTTCTCCTGCCTCAGCCTCCCAAGTAGCTGGGATTACAGGTGTGCGCTACCACACCCATTTAAGTTTTGTATTTTTAGTGGATACGGGGTTTCACTATGTTTGCCAGGCTGGTTTTGAACTCCTAACCTCAGGTGATCTGCCTGCCTTGGCCTCCCAAAATTCTGGGATTAGAGGTGTGAGCCACCATGCCTGGCCTGTTCTACTCATTCAATTCCAGTTTGGTTTGGGGGCTTTTTAAAATTGTTAATAAAATTAACATGTTGCCGTACTTTATGTTAAGAGCACTGGGGACGTTTCCACTCTCCCTTTGTCCTCAATCCCCCAGAAACATTTATACCAAGAAGTTAGAAGCTGTATTGTGGGCTGAAACGTTATCTTTACATGAAAAGATTATTGAGATTTGTCAGGCATAGTGTTTTTTCTGAGGAATAAATGAAATATAAATGTTCACTTTGAAAACTAATGAATTAAAGCCATTTACAGTTTCTGTTAATGAGTTAAATAATGTATACAATCATAGTTCATAGTGGTAGCCAGCTTCATGCTCTGCTGAACTTACAGTTTGATTATGGTCAAATTTTCCATGTTATTGTAATAGAATTAAGAGTATGTCCTGGTAAATTACATTACCTTTACAGTTTGAGCATTCTGATTTTAACATTTTATAGTTTGAAAACAAACTGTACTCATATAATCAGAGCATTAACAGCATCATCATGTCAGTGGTACCAATAATTGTGAATCTTCTGCAACAAAATTTCTTTAATGATGAGTTTAATGGGCTTCTATTCAAACTTAATTTTTGTTCAATTCATAAGTGCCCACTGAATATGTATTTCATTCTGCTATTCTGTTCCTTTGATCATCTGCTTTTTGTTGAGCATTGGCATAGCTAAAATAGATATAGCATGCATTGTAAATGCTGTTGAATTTTTTTTAAGGCTCAAAGGTGCTAGTATGTAAATAACAGCACATTGCCAAATAAGCATTTTTTTCTCTCATTTTTAAGAGTACTTTTATATTGAATCATGTAATGATCAGCATTTATGGTGAATTGGAAGAATTTTTCCTCTTTATTTTCTTAAATGACCCTAGAAAACATTATAAAGTAGCTCTGAAGAAGGCTTTATCGTTGAAGTTGTCTCATAATTACTTGTGTGGATCCTTCGACATAGAATTATTTATAGCTTATAATTCACTCTCATCTAGAGAATGCTGATTTCTAATACATAACTAATGTAAATAGGGCTCAGACTACAGTGAAGCAGAAGACATTCGAGAGATTTTTTATTACATTTGGATATTTTATTGGACTGTGATTATTTTGCCAACAAATTACAAGTGAAAACATTGGGTTATACAGCATACTCACTTTGATAAAATATGGTAATGGATACTCACAGAAGAACTGCCTTCATGGAGTTTACAATGTTAATACTCTAAATGGCCATCTATTTATCTTTTTTAAAATGGACAAATAATATAAATGTTTTTCTTTAAAATGGAATAGTTTGAAAGTATTTATCGAGTCAGTGTATGTTCATGTTTGGGGGAGATCAAGTGAACTTCCTTGTGGCTCATTCCGTTGTTTTAGCACAATTGAGCATCACAAATGTTTATAGTGGGCTTGACTATAACAGAGTTTAAAAATTTTTGTATTTTTAGATAATGTATTTTTATTCCATAACGTACTACTTAGGAGAGAAAGGAAGTGTAAGGTTCACTGATGTTGAAATGAATTGAGATGCATTAAAGTAGTTTAAGGCTAAAGCAGTTTGATGTGGGAATTTGAGGAGGATAAAACTTCAGCTTAATAGGAAAATGCTAATTTGGACAGCATTGTATGGTTCTGGGGTTGTCCTGAATTTAAAACAAAGCTAGGCAAACCTAGTATGATTTTTTTTTTTTCTCCTGTGACATTTAGCTGCTTGATTTCAGGTATAGAGAATTGCAGTTAAGGCCGGGTGCAGTGGCTCACGCCTGTAATCCCAGCACTTTGGGAGGCTGAGGCAGGCAGATCACCTGAGGTCGGGGGTTCGAGACCAGCCTGACCGACATGAAGAAACCCCATCTCCACTAAACACACAAAATTAGTCGTGTGTAGTGGTGCATGCCTGTAATCCCAGCTACTTGGGAGGCTGAGGCAGGAGAATCACTTCAACCCGGAGGCGGAGGTTGTTGTGAGCCAAGATTGCACCATTGCACTCCAGTCTGGGCAACAAGAGTGACACTCCATCTCAAAAAAAAAAGGTGAGAATTGCATTTAGATTTTTAAGCCATTTAGATTTGAAGTAGAAGCAAGCCAGGGAGTTAAAGATATTTTCCAGGTGATTATTGTACTGAAACATGGAATCTAAGCTGTTCAAGAAATACATGATAGGGAGGTGGTGAATGGTGAGAAAGTGGTGCTGTCCTGTGAACTGATAACAGTAATGAAGTGAGCCTGAAAGGTAGGAGGTGTGAAGTCAAGACTTCAGAGGTGATCTGATATTGATGAGAAAAAGTCAAGACCTTGGAAGTAGCAGAGGGGGTCACATTCTTTAAAATGAGGAGTCAAGGATCTGTAGGGCTGCAATTCATGTAAGTGTTGAAATGAGATTGACAGGCATAGGAGTGAGAAGAAAGAGGGCAACAAGGAGAAGGTAACTGTTGGCACTAGCTTTACAGGATCCATGCTTTAAAAACTGGTTAGCTATTTAAAGATGAAAATCTGTTTAAAGATGAACTAATAAAATGTTAAAGATAATGGATCATTTCAGTGCCTTTCTCCAACATCCAAATTGTTAAAAAAGACTTAAGTGCTTGTCCCATCAGCCCAGATTATGAGGGCTTTTACCAAGACTTGACAGCCTTCCCACCCTCTGAATCTTTTCTAAGTTTGCTCCCATGTGAGGTTAGTTCTTGTATTCTTTGCTACTTATATAGCTTAACTATACTGAAAGAGGGTAAAACCTTTGTTGGAAAATCTGAGCTCTGCCCTCTTAGGTTTCATTAAGTGCCAGTGTAGGGCTCACTTCCCCAGTTCTATGTGCAGCCAATTCCTAAGGTAAGAGAGAACATCCTGAGTGGTTCTCTCTTACCAATGGTGGGCTGCTGGCCAAAAGGAATCCCTAGAGATTTTGATGTGGGAGGAAAAGATTTTCATTTTTGAGGATTTTTCTCTGACTTTCCTATGGCCTGCTGATTTTCTCAGTTTGCTTTGTTCTGGGTTTTGGGGGAGAATTCTTAGCAGGTTGTGAATTTTCTTTTCCCATAGTGATGTAGAAATGAACTACATGGTGGTTAGATGCTGTTCTGAACTTTATCTAAATCTTACCGAATCCATTTCCATATTAGCGTGAAGTTGTTTATTGATTTTGAATTTTTCCTTCTCACTCCGTTGCTGGTTCCTTAGTTATGATCCAGCTTTACACTGTCTTCACTGAGAAGTGACCTCACCTTTTCATGACAGAGGAAACAGAAGCCGTGGACGTCGTAACGCTGTATCTCACAAACCTGTATGCATGTCATATCTTTTCCTTATTTCTTCCTATTCTGGTGTTTTAAACACCCTGTCACCCATCAGGGACTTGTCCATTCACGTATATTTCTCCTACACCTCTGCTACTCTGTCATACGTCTTGCACTGTGACTGTTTCCTCTCTTTCTTGTATTTTCATCTTGTCACCCTGTATTTTTTTTCCACCCTCTTTAGTTACACCTTTCGTTTTAAGTAGGTTCTAGGGAGATGGTTTGATTATGTATCTTAAATTCCCTCCCCCAAATCTTTGTTTCCATTTGGCAACTACCCTCTCTTGAATAGAGCAGCTGCTTTGAGCCTGGAGCCTTTGGGCAAATAAGAGTGTATACAGTCCCTTGATTCTACCAGAATATGGAAAGGAGAGCTTGTCTTTGAGTTTATTCCTCTAATCCAGATGAAGGTCTATAGACTGGCAGTTATGAAGCCTTCAGCAAGGATCTGAACTGAAAGAGCCTCACTTTCAAAGATACATGGATTTAGAGGAAAAGCGTTGCAGGTCATATGTATGGTACTAGGAAGACTAGATTCGGAGTACCTGCTTTGTTGCTGCGTGGTGGGCCCAATTCCACATCTCCCCATGAGGCTGGGGGAGGGCAAGTAAATAGAAGAAAAAAAAAAAGATTGGAAGAGATTTTCTTCCTGTCATCTGTGATGAGGAGTGGCAACTTGCTGGTTAGTAGATAATCAGCCTACAGAAGTGAACTGCCTTCTGTTGCTCACAAGTTTGTTTCCACTCAGAGTGTCCCACAGTTTGATTTATGCCAAAGGAGGAGTGAGTGGACAAAAAAGAATAAGGAAACCTGAAGAAAATAGTACCTACAGAAAGCAGGAACACACGAAATGGATGGTAAAAAAGAATTGCTGGTGGAGATGGCTGACAATTTTAATTTTGAAAAAGCACCTGAGAAAATTCAGTCAGTGTAAATAAATTTTCTATCAAGCCACATTAAAATGTGGTACAAAAAGAGAGGCATGGCCACTCTTGGGGACTAAATTAGTGGCCTGGAATATCATGTAGTAGTTATCTCTGGGAAAGTGAAAACCCAAAGACATGGAGATTTCAAAAATGAAAATGCCTAGAAGAGGAGTCTAA